TGACCAAAATTATAATACCCTCTGCAAGGCCTTGCAAGGGTATAAAAACACCAACCTTATGGCTTTTCCGATCGTTCAGTTATATGGCAGCTATATGATATAGTCGCCCGATCCGGCTCGTTCCGACTTATATACTACCTGCAATAAAAAGACAACTTTTGGGAAAGTTTCAAGCAGATAGCTTTTAAACTGAGGGACTAGTTTGCGTAGAAACGGACGGACGGACGGACAGACGGACATGGCTAAATCGACTCTCCTGGTGATGCTGATCAAGAATATATATACTTTATAGGGTCGGAAATGTCTCCTTCACTGCGTTGCAAACTTTTGACTGAAATTATAATACCCTCTGCAAGGGTGTAATAAAAGAACAAAAAACTATTTTTTAAAACGAAGAAGTTATATTGATTTTCCGATACATTTCAACATTGTTCCTATTGCAGCTAAATGATAAAGTCGTAGGATTTTTATAAAATTCAAAATACATTTTTTTTCCAACATAAGAAAGAAAGCAAACTTCGGCAAGCGGAAGTTTATATACCCTCGCAGTTATTACAAAACGACGACATTTGATTTTAGTGTTAGTGATATAGGCATAGATATTACTAAAACCAATGAGCTCAAAGAAGCTGGATCGACTAAAATTTTTGAAATTTGAATAGCTCCGTTAACCCCTTTTTTGGCCACTTTTTAATTTATTTGCCCACCTTAAGTTTTAAAAATTTACCCACCCTTTAAAATTCGTTATTTTGAATAAATAAAAGATGCCCATGTTTAATTTTGACAAAAAAAGATTTGCCTACCTCTTAAAACAGGCATTTTTATACCCTTACAGAGAGTATTATAATTTTGGTCAAAAGTGTCCAATGCAGTGAAGGAGACATCTCCGACCCTATGGAGTATATATATTCTTGATCAGGAGCATCTCCTGAGTTGATATAGCCATGTCCGTCTGTCTGTCCGTCTGTCTGACCGTCTGTCTGTTTCTACGCGAACTAGTCTCTCAGTTTTAAAGATTTCGAATTGAAACTTTGCATACACCCTTCTTTTCTTTGCACGCAGTATATAAGTCGGAACGGCCGGGATCGGCCGACTATATCCTATAGCTACCATATAACTGATTGATCGGAAATGCCATAACTTAAGTGTTTTTAAAGTTAGGAAGCTGGGATTTTCTATGGGTTTTATATTTGGTTAATCAATCCGACCTACTAAATTTCATAAGGATCGGCCGACTATATCCTATAGCTGCCCATTGATTAACTGATTGATCGAAAATGCCATAACTTTGGTGTTTGTTAAGTTAGGAAGTTGAGATTTTCTATGGGTTTTATATTTGGCCAATCAATCCGACATATCAAATTTCATAAGGATCGGCCGTATAACTGAACGATTGTAAATGCCATAACTTTGGTGTTTATACCCGTTATTCGTAGAGTAAAAGGGTATATTGTATTTGTGCAAAAGTATGTAACAGGTTGAAGAAGCGTTTCCGACCCTATAAAGTATATATATTCTTGTTCAGGATCACTAGCCGAGTCGATCTGGCCATGTCCGTCTGTCAGTCTGTCTGTCTGTCCGTATGAACGCTGAGATCTCGGAAACTATAAAAGCTAGAAGATTGGCATTTTGCATGTGGATTTTAGGAGTTCCTACGCAGCGCAAGTTTGTTTAAAAATGGTGCCACGCCCCCTCTGACGCCCACAAGCCACAAGCTGTGGCCACAGTTTTGGTGCTATTATGAAAATTTTAATTTATATGTATTTGTTTCGTCAATACCTATCGATTGGCCTAATAAAAGTTTACCACGCCCACTCTAACGCCCAAAAACCAATTAAACGCTTAAGCCTGGCTGGCGCCTACATTTCCGCCTTTCATGGCCCGTGGTACCAATGTCTTGGGATAGATGGCGCAATACAATAGAGCCATCTAACGGATGACTTTGGAACAGCTGTTTAGCTGAGTAACGGCTATCTAATAGTCGAGGCACTCGACTATAGCGTTCTCTCTTGTTTTAAAGTTAGGAATTTTGGATTTTTATACCCTTGCAGAGGGTATTATAATTTTGGTCAAAAGTGTGCAACGCAGTGAAGGAGACATCTCCGACCCTATAAAGTATATATATTCTTGATCAGGATCACCTCCTGAGTTGATATAGCCATGTCCGTCTGTCCGTCTGTCTGTCCGTCTGTCTGTTTCTACGCGAACTAGTCTCTCAGTTTTAAAGCTATCGAATTGAAACTTTGCACACACCCTTCTTTTCTTTGCACGCAGTATATAAGTCGGAACGACTATATCCTATAGCTGCCATATAACTGATTGATCGGAAATGCCATAACTTTGGTGTTTGTAAAGTTAGGAAGTTGGGATTTTCTATGCGTGTTATATTTGGCCAAACAATCCGACCTACCAAATTTCATAAGGATCGGCCGACTATATCCTATAGCTGCCATATAACTGATTGATCGGAAATGCTATAACTTTGGTGTTTGTAAAGTTAGGAAGCTGGGATTTTCTATGGGTTTTATATTTGGTTATTCAATCCGACCTACCAAATTTCATCGGCCGACTATATCCTATAGCTGCCATTTAACTGAACGATTGGAAATACTATAACTTTGGTGTTTGTAAAGTTAGGAAGCTGGGATTTTCTATGGGTTTTATATTTGGTTATTCAATCCGACCTACCAAATTTCATAAGGATCGGCCGACTATATCCTATAGCCGCCATATAACTGATTGATCGGAAATGCCATAACTTGGGTGTTTGTAAAGTTAGGAAGTTGGGACTTTTTATGAGTATTAAGAATGCATCCTATAAATAATTTTGGAGAATATAATGTACATAATATTCTGCAAGGGTATAGCAACTTCGGCTCCGCCCGAAGTTAGCTTTCCTTTCTTGTTATGAGTGTTAGAATGCATCATGATGATATAATTTTGGAGAATATAATTTACAGAATATTCTGCAAGGGTATTTCAACTTCGGCTCCGCACGAAGTTAGCTTCCCTTTCTTGTTTAACAAAAAATCGTTTTCCCAACCCTTAAAAATCGTTTTTTTGAAAAAATATAAGATGCCCTTGTTGGCACATCTCTTGAAATTTAAGAATTAAAAAAAATCGTTTGTCCACCTCTTAAATATAGTTAATTTTGACAAAAAAACGTTTACCCCATAAAAATCGTTATTTGGAAAAAATAATAAATTGCCCATGTGGGCAAACATATTTTTGTATAAAATGCTTTACAAGACTTTCTTAACCAAGCGCGCAGAATCGACAAAATTCGTGCTTATTATACCCGTTACTCGTAGAGTAAAAGGGTATATTGTATTCGTGCAAAAGTATGTAACAGCTAGAAGGAAGCGTTTCCGACCCTATAAAGAATATATATTCTTGATCAGGGTCACTAGCCGAGTCGATATAGCCATGTCCGTCTGTCCGTCGAACATGGCTAAATCGACTCTCCTGGTGATGCTGATCAAGAATATATATACTTTATAGGGTCGGAAATGTCTCCTTAACTGCGTTGCAACTTTTGACTGAAATTATAAAACCCTCTGCAAGGGTATTAAAATATCCATATCTTTATCTTTATCTGTATGCGTATAGTCAAAAAAAAGGAAGATCTTTGAATGGCGGATTTTTAAAAATGACTTTATCTTGGAGAATGTTGGTATATATTTAAAAACAACGAAGCTTTAATTATGTTTCAATTGTACCTATGGCAGGTAAATCAAATTTTTGCCCGTTTCGGCTTAAAGAAAAACTTCTGGAAATGTTTATTTCAGATACCCTTAAACTGTGGGACTAGTTTGTGTAGAAAGGAATGGTCAGACGGACATGGATATATCAAGGATCATGACTGAGCAACTATATATACACTCTATAGCAAGCGTTACCGAAAAATCATTATACCCTCAGCGTGGGTTTCAAAAAGTAAAAATTGCGAAAACTTTGCATTTATTAACGTTTATACGAAAACATATACCGATGAAGGTAAAATACAAGAACAACGAGAGCGACACATCATTCATCGCATGAAAGAATCGAATTTAGTTTGCCGTTTTTCTAGAATTTAGCCGGATTCAATCGACCACCGGGGTATTGAACAGCTTGAAACTCATCGAGTGGCACGTATTTTTATGGCCAACTGCATTGAATCGAATCAAACCATTTCCGTTCGCGTTTGCTGTTGTTTGCGTCGAGAAGTGTGAAATAAATCAGCCGACCACAAACGTGACCCACATTGGCAGATGGAACCACAACACACTTACCCAATTAATTTATATTAATTGATCCGTTTCGACGACGGTCTTAAAGTTTCTATTTCGCAGTACTTTTTTATAATATGTATGTAAAAGAAAAAATTCTTCGTCAGAAAATGGAAATTTAATTCCATGACCAACTTCTTTTTGAAAATTGTGTATTTAAATTTGAATAAAACTACCTTCGTTATATTCATTGTGTTCACAATTCTTATGCTTTAAGCCTTTAATTGGTATTATTTTTATTGTATAAAAATATTAAAGGTATTTACGAGATTTTGCTTAGCATTGAATGCATTCTTAAAGTAATGGAAAAGAGGAGTTTGAAAAGTTCGACTTTAATTTAATAAATTAATCTTTTGCATAAATGTAAAAACTCCGATGATAAAATGAAAACTGTAATTTTAATTTTTTATACCTAGGTAAGATTTGGGTCAAAGTCATTTCAAATTCGTGTTCGGACAATACAAATGAATTAAAGAAACTGCCTGTATTGTCGGTGACCTTAACAAAGGCATTGGCTTATTTGTCTTTCGACTTGCACAATAAATAACGAATTCCTCTTGAATTTCCAGGGTGCCGAGATAAGAGTATAAATTCCCCATCGTTTTCCAGTGGCATCGGGTGTATTTTCTCTTAAGGAAAACTGTGGGAAATTATGGGAAGTTCCCCGGCGAACCGACGTCTATAAAAGGGAGCTCAATTTGGCTCTCGCGTCACAAAGGCAGGTGGACTGCCGACGCAAGTTGAGCACGGTAAACGGCGGAAAGGACGAAAAGAACGAAAGTCGAAAAGGACGAACGGTGAATGGTGAACGGTGAACGGTCAACGGCCAACGACCCAAAGTGAATGTAACAGCTATTCCGGGAAGCCCGCGATCCTTCCCAACGGTTCGTTGCGTCCGCGCATCTCTTTCCTTTTTTTGTGTGTGTCCCTTTATTTTTCTGTGCCCCCTTATTTCGACTGATTCACAGAAACAAAAGTGACAAAGTATGCTTCACATTTGAATGGGCATTGGGACATGAAGCGCAGAAGGACGCGCGCTTTCAGCATCCCCGTGCCAGCCTCAATGGCACCCAAACCGAACCCCTGAAACCCATCCAATACCATCCCCACCAGTTTCAGCCCGCGCTGCGATTGTTTTTCGACTGCGGGACGTGCGTTTTCCCCAGAACACACTGTTCAAAAACTATGCCATTTGTGTTCCAAGATCCAACAACGCACAAGTAACCGTCATCCTTTCAAGCGTTGAACATTCAATATTTATATACAAAATGTGTAACTCAAGCTTAAAATAAAATCGAGTGATAATCACAATACGGCCATCGTTGACATTTTTGCTCAACTGTTCGTTTTAAACCGACAAAGCATTGCTATAGGATTTGTACAACTGTTTATTTGCATATCATTCGATATCTGACAAATACGTTGTACAATAACTAGGAGCGAATGACAAAACAGCCCAATCAAAAATAAGGCAAAGTACGGGTATAAAAACCAAAGTGAAGTAAAAATCTTTTGACAGTTTTGGAGATACCTTGAAGCTAATTGTACGTTAATTTTGGATAAGAGCTTGTGAGATTTTTATGAAATTTTTGGAGCTTCATCATCCAAAAATAAGTTTTGGATAACTTTCTCAGAAAGTTTTGATTCAGATTCCTCTGCAAAATAGTTTCGATAGCCTTATCTGTATGAAACAAATTATTGATTTATATCAAAAAATTAAATAATTTCGCCTGGAGAAAAATAAATAATTTGATTGAAAGTAGATTTTAAAAGGAATGGCTGCAAGTGTTTGAAAACTTTCCCCGCTATAAAGCAGAGTATCGCTTTGATATACTTGCATTTCTTCAGAATTTGATTTAAAGTCAAGTGTCCTATCAGACACTTTAAGGAGTCACATCGAGATATGTTGAGATATTATATATGTTCCATTAAGGAATATAATTAAATGTTCTTTTTGACTGATATATAGACGATTTAAATTAATAATGATCACCGGATATCGGTTTTTTTTCTTTGAAGTATTAAATTGTTCTCTCTGTATAAAGAATCGTGCTCGTTCATTTAATTATGGGTTCTGGTGACCAATCGATGGTGTGGGATGTGAAAGTATAATGGTGCTTCCTTCAATTTAACTCGATTTGTCGTAATGAAGCTAGTCCGCGAAGCCTCATGCAATAGTTAACATATTTTTATGTCCGGTTGTCGCCAAAGTTTCCTCCCCGCCAGATCCACATTCGCATTCGCATCCGTTTTCCCATGCCCATCTATATTCCCGCTCCCTCGAGAGTTTCGGTTTCAAGTGCCATTGGAGCTGAAGCTCCTCTGGATTGCTCACTTGATGGCTCCGATGGCCGTGGGTTGCCCGATTCAATGTTTGCGCTCTTGCCCAACAAGTGTGGGGATTGGGAGGTCAAGAGCTGGTCATTCGGGAGTCTGGTTTAGGTTTGGGAACCCTTCCCACCCCCTGAAAATGTTGCTTACATCATTTTGGGAAGCCAAGGATTTGTGGGCCTTTAAATGTCATGTTCTCCGACCCTGCGCGGGTAACAAATCCAGAGAAATCGACGGTGATGGGAACAGCTCGAAAATAAATATTGGTTCAAAAGTAATCTGTACATTTTCTCATTAGGCTTTACGGTTTTGTGTAAACGAATGGCTTGGGATTCTAGGAAGAAAAAACGCTAAACACACTTTACTCAGTTAACCAGTTTAAAAAATTGATTGGCTAGGCAATCAAAACAGACTGTAATGTATATTTAAATTCTATCGCTGACCTCATTGACAATGCTTAATTAATTGTTTAGTAACTTCTATAATAACAAGAAAGGAAAGCTAACTTCGGGCGGAGCCGAAGTTGATATACCCTTGCAGAATACTCTGTAAATTATATTCTTCAAAATTATTCATATGATGCATTCATAATACTCATAAAAAATCCCAACTTCCTAACTTTAATAACACCAAAGTTATAGCATTTCCAATCGTTCAGTTATATGGCAGCTATAAGATATAGTCGGCCGATCCTTATGAACTTTGGTAGGTCGGATTGATTGGCCAAAAATAAAACCCATAGAAAATCCCAACTTCCTAACTTAACAAACACCAAAGTTATGGCATTTCAGATCAATCAGTTATATGGCGGCTATAGGATATAGTCGGCCGATCCTTATGAAATTTGGTAGGTCGGATTGATTGGCCAAATATAAAACCGATAGAAAATCCCAACTTCCTAACTTTACAAACACCAAAGTTATGGCATTTCCGATCAATCAGTTATATGGCAGCTATAAGATATAGTCGGCCGATCCTTATGAAATTTGGTAGGTCGGATTGATTGGCCAAATATAAAACCCATAGAAAATTCCAACTTCCTAACTTTACAAACACCAAAGTTATGGCATTTCCGATCAATCAGTTATATGGCAGCTATAGGATATAGTCGGCCGATCCCGTCCGTTCCGACATATATACTGCGTGCAAAGGAAAGAAGGGTGTGTGCAAAGTTTCAACTCGATAGCTTTAAAACTGAGAGACTAGTTTGCGTAGAAACAGTCAGACGGACAGACGGACATGGCTATATCAACTCAGGAGGTGATCCTGATCAAGAATATATATACGTTATAGGGTCGGAGATGTCTCCTTCACTGCGTTGCAGACTTTTGACCAAAATTATAATACCCTCTGCAAGGGTATAAAAAGTCGATTTGGAAATTTTGGAATAACTGCAGCTGCATAATAAATCCAAAATTTCAGATTAGTTTTCCATTTAACGTTAGCCAGGCGCGATGCCATTGCAAACGTCACAATTGCAATCAATCGAAGTTGGCCATACTTTCGCCACCGGAAACTTCCACTTTTACCAACACCCTCCCCCAATGTGATTCAATAAGGCAATTAACAGGCGGGCTAAGGCCTCTGTGTCCATAGTCCTCGGTCTGGAGTGATGTGTCCGGAAATCGCGGCTAAGGACAAACATTTAGCAACACTTCTCTTGCATACAGCCGGCGGCTAAGGAGGGAAACAGACCGGAATAGTCCTAATGCTCATTGAAATTTACGATTATGCTGCGAAATTATTAAACAATATGACCGCAAGAGGAGGCAGGGAAACATCCGGAAAAGAGAAAGCAGGCGAATCCATTAACAACCAATCTACAGGGAATCTTAGGGGCCTGGTTAAACGCACCCTGGCCAAAGTGGCCCGGGCCAATCCCGCCCAGCACGTGTCCAATCTGCCCGTTTCCGCCCTTCTGCTCCAGGCCCTTGACGCGGCGGACGTGGCCCACGGCCAGCGCATCGATCATCCGACCCGTGGGCCGGCGGCGGATGTGCTGCCAGGACTCCTCGGCGACCAGCCGCCCGGTCTCCTGCCGGAAAACGCCACCGGTAGTCCGCTGGCGGGGAATGGGGGCGCGGACGTGTACCTGCCAGCAGGCAATCTCAGCGGTTTCATCGAGTCCTCGACGACGGCGGTGATAAGCTCGCTCCCCACCAGCAGCATGGCCACCTTCCAGGCCCAAACGGTGGCCACCTTTATCGCCGCCTCCGGCAGCAAGAATCGCCCAACGACCATCGTTGTCTACCCAACGGGTGAGTTAATACCTTTACGTAATTTAAATAATTAAATGGGGCACGACCTTCTAGGCCTCAATTATATACCCTTGAAGCAAGAAACAAAATATATCTATATATTTAACAAGAAAGGCAGCAAACTTCGGCTAGCCAATATTTATATACCCTTGCAACTCATTAATGATAGAATATTTCATTTTTGTAGCGACTATACTTCGAATGTCCGTCGGTCCGTCCGCCTATCCGTTTCTGTGCAAATAAACCTTCAGTTTTGGATGAACGTTAAAAAAATATTGTTTTCTGCCGGTAATACATATGTCGGAGTAGGACCGATTAACATATACACATATAGTGCGAGATATAATCATTTTACGGGATTCAGAATTACTGTTTTACTTTTATAAAAATTGGACGACTATAACATATCTTTCTGGGCCACTCTATTAAACTGAATTGCTTATTTTTATACCCTTCCACAGAGTATTATTTCTTAATGACTTATAAAATAATAAATAATAATGAAAAATTATTGAGTTTCGATAGATATTAAAATAATAAAGATATACCGGTTAAAAACTTTATATAACTGCAAGGGTATATAAACTTCAACTTGTCTCGTTTTTAGTCGCATGGCGACTTTCCGAAGGAAGCGTTTCCCTCGATATCTCGGAAACTATAAGAGCTAGAGAGTGTTGGGATTTAACATGAAGATGATGGTGGTATCTATGTGGCGCAAGCCGCAAATCATTCAATTTAGAAGTTATTAAGAACCTAACGTCAAATGACATAGCACGGTCTGTGCCTGCAATCTCACATTCTTCACATGGCGGCTAATGTACGCTGCATCAACAGAATTGCACAAGGTGCCATCTTCTGGTTGCATATTTATTTGATATTGGTTAACAGAGTAACGGTAGAAAATGGTCGTCGCACTTAACGTTTATTCTAGTTCTATTAAGTGTAACTCGCATTAGAATGTATTTCCAAATTAATAAAGTACGACTTCATATAATTAAAACTGCACAAGTATCCGATTCAATTATAGGCAAGTCCGTCAGTTTGAATACTTGATATATTTTCGTTTTTTCATGTTTGGGTACCATTTTTATACCCGTCACTCTTGAAGGGTAAACGGGAAAATTGAATTCGTTGAAAAGTATGTAACCGGAAGAAGGCAGCTATATATATTATTGATCAAGAAATCTTATTGATCTCTGTAGAGACATGGTAGGGAGCCAGTTATTTGGCGGTATAAGTGGCCCCGCATAACAAATATTATTCGGTCAATATCTATTACCACACAGTTTCGCACTATTATTTTTGAATTTTTTTTTATCAATTTAAAGTATTTATTGTGACGTCACTGCATATTTTTAAAATGGAGTGCATCTATTCGAAAAAGCGTAAGATAGCGAAAGAGTTAATTGCGGGGGCGGGGATGCTGCTTGCTCTCAGCTTCTGGTGTTGGCGATGCATTTCGGCAGATGGCGCTACCTTAATTTGTGGAAATGCGATATCGGTTGGGGGCATATTTATTTTGAAATTGGTCAGCTGAGTAACGGGTATCTTATTGTTAAGGTAGGGTGTTGAATTCACAGCACAGATTAGCAATTCCAATTATATGACAATTCAAAATGTTGTCAGACATCAAACTTTTGTAATCTTAGCTATACTATGGCACTTCAAATGAGGATCAAAATGAAGCTTTTGTGTCCCTGTGCAATTATTTATTTTGCATTATAATCTCAGTCGAAAGCTTGCAACGCAGTAAAAGATAAATTTTTAACCTACAAACGGGATATATTATATATTACTAGGCCAGTTGAGCTAGACATTTCCAACCGTCAATCAGTTTCTACCCAAACTAGTCTCTTCGTTTTTTAGCTACAAGCTTTGTTATAAAGGTTAGTATTTTTCAGCTTCAAACTAATATTTAATCTCGTACAAATCTATGTCGAATTCGACACCTTTTTGGGCAATAATCAGTTAATCCCCAAGTCCCGAAAACTTTTTTGTCGCATCTCTTAAATTAAAAGACTCCTAAATGACTTAAGCTAATTAGATACATTTCAGCATAAAGCTGGAGTTGCCGGCCCCCACAGTTCCCATCCCCCCACCCCCTTCCCCTGAAGTAATCAAATCAGTGCAGTCAGCCACCCTTCGATCCCGCGGGCCAGGCTTGGATCCATGCCTAAAACCGGAGAAGGAGCCCTTCTGCTTCCCAATTTCTGCCTCCGTCTCCACTTCAATTAGTTGCCTCGCTGCCGGCGTTAATTTGCATGAGCTGACAACCGAGTCCTCATTATCCCCATTGAATCCGATTGCTCCGGCTGCCGCGTTAACTTACTTTTTATAGTTTCGGTGGCATGGCAAACTTTGCGTGGCTTTCGGCCTAGCATAGGCCAAGCCGAAAGTTGCCCCAAGAGTCACTGGGCCAATGACGAAGACTGGGACAAGATTAAGGCCCCTTTCCGTGCCCCATTCAGCAATTAGACAAGTCTAAGTCGCATTAATTGCAAGGAGTCGCACTCGAATATAGCTGTTGATTGTTTGAGTCAAGTGTCGCCATCAGCTAAATGGGTGGAAAATGGGAGTGCCTTCACAGTTGGCGCCAATGTGGCAGAGCACCGAGTCGCTCACAAATAAGAATCTTAAAGGCTGCACAGAAAAAATTGTTAAGCAATGCTGAGCCAAACCAGAGCATCAAGATAGTACACAGAAAGAATTCCAACATATTTTTACTCATTTTAAGAAAAAAATATCTATCTATCCCTTTACCATTTCTAAATATTAACAGAAACATTTTGCTCTACTTCGAATTCGTATTTTCGATGAAAATACTTCTGACTCTTATTACATTTTTTGGTTGATTCAATACATTTGTATGCTCGGTAGTTCTCATATTGAGAGTACAAGGGTACTATTATTAAATGTAAACAAAATCAACTATTTTTCCCCTTTGTGTATTGCCAATGTGAATTTCCACTTCAAATTGATTTAAATTTTTTTTGGCCGCAGTGAGCTGGCGTCTTTATCAAGTAAATTGCGCCTTCCTCACACTACCTTGGCTTACGGCCCACCCAAATTTGGCGAGAACATTTTGGACTACTTTGCTCGTCCCAGGCTCATCCCTCCGGTAGGCCCACAACCATCTCATTGCCCCAACCCCACTATAAGCAGTTGTACATACGTACCTCCAGCATTGAATTCGAGGGGCGTGGACGTCAATGTCAGCGTCATCGATGGCCTGTGGGCGTGGCACTCGAGTTGCCGCCACCTTGTCAGTTCGACACAAGATTCAACTTTTCATCCATGCTGACACAAAATAAAAGAAAAACGAAAAGCATAGCAGAGTTTACCCCAACAAAAAGTGCGTAAATTCATCTGATAAAATGGTGTAACAGGAATGCTATGTCCTTCAGCTCTATTGATAAGTTAACAATGCCTTCCACTTAGCGCAACACTCCAATGACTGTTCTCCACTATAAAGAAGTTCTCGTTTTTCTGTCAGATAAACTGGGGGATCCTTTAAACAACAATACAATACTCGTACAATATTGGTTAATGTCGTATATCGATTTTATGCAGACATGTTTATACCCGTTACTCGTAGAGTAAAAGGGTATATTGTATTCGTGCAAAAGTATGTAACAGCTAGAAGGAAGCGTTTCCGACCCTATAAAGTATATATATTCTTGATCAGGGTCACTAGCCGAGTCGATATAGCCATGTCCGTCTGCCGGTCTGTCCGTCTGTCCGTATGAACGCTGAGATCTCGGAAACTATAAAAGCTAGAAGATTGGCATTTTGCATGCAGATTCTAGGAGTTCCTACGCAGCGCAAGTTTGTTTCAAAAAGGTGCCACGCCCCCTTTAACACCCACAATCGCTTATATACGATTTTAAAAATTTAAATATTTCGGAAAAGCAAAAATTCAGTTTTATTGTGCTTATCAATACCTATCGAAATGTAGAAGAAATTTTTCAAATCGGACCATTCGTTAAAAAGTTATGCGTGATCAAAGTTTCTATCTCCATCTCCCTCGCACTCCCTTTACCTGAGTAACGGGTATCTGATAGTCGGGGCACCGGACTATAGCGTTCTCTCTTGTTTTCGCTAAATTTGTTGATCGTTCCCAGAACAGTTTTAAGATATAGTCGTTACATTTTCATTAATTTAAAAAATGGTTTTAAAATCGTAATAAATATCTACTTTTAACTCATTAAAAAAGCACTACACCCAGAAAAAAATGACGGCGAAAATCTAAAACCGAGATTCTTTCTTTCATACAAATTGTATACCCTTGCAGAGGGTATTATAATTTTGGTCAAAAGTGTGCAAAGCAGTGAAGGAGACATCTCCGACCCTATAAAGTATATATATTCTTGATCAGGATCACCTCCTGAGTTGATATAAGTATGTTCGTCTGTCCGTCTGTCTGTTTCTACGCAAAATAGTCTCTCAGTTTTAAAGATATCGAATTGAAACTTTGCACACACCCTTCGATCCTTTGCACCTAGTATATTAGTCGGAATGGCCGGGATCGGCCGACAATATCCTATAGCTGCCATATAACTGATTGATCGGAAATGCCATAACTTTGGTGTTTGTAAAGTACGGAAGTTGGGATTTTCTATGGGTTTTGTATTTGGCCAATTAATCACTAGCCGAGTCGATCTAGCCATGTCCGTCTGTCCGTCTGTCTTTCTGTCCGTATGAACGCTGAGATCTCGGAAACTATAAAAGCTAGAAGATTGGCATTTTGCATGTAGATTTAAGGAGTTCCTACGCAGCGCAAGTTTGTTTCAAAATGGTGCCACGCCCCCTCTGACGCCCACAAGCCACAAGCTGTGGCCACAGTTTTGATGCTATTATGAAAATTTTAATTGTTATGTATTTGTTTCGTCAATACCTATCGATTGGCCTAATAAAAGTTTGCCATGCCCACTCTAACACCCAAAAACCCATTAAACGCTTAAGCCTGGCTAGCGCCTACATTTCCGCCTTTCATGGCCCGTGGTACCAATGTCTTGGGGTAGATGGCACAATACAATAGCGCCATCTAACGGATGACTTGTTTAGCTGAGTAACGGGTATCTAGTTTATAATCTAATATATATCAAAAAGCTATAAGTAAATTTGAGCTTTTCTTTATGATCATTAAATAAGTTTTACGAGAAGTTAAAGAAACCGTACACGGGTGTACTTATTATTTTGGCCAGTAGATTAATAGTCGAGTCACTCGACTATAGCATTCTCTCTTGTTTTATTTTGTTGTACTGCAATCACACCAAGGTCAATTTGATTGTAGTATGGTGCGTTTTTTATAAAAGCGAAAAGAAGCCATTTGGTTAATTTATATGTCAAACTACAATCAAATTGACCTTGGTGTGATTCCATTTAAAAAAAGCATTTAAAAAAAATTCTTTTAAAAACTTAGAAAACCTGAATTGTTCAATATCATACTATTTAATTTATTAACTACCTTTTTTGTTAATATTATTCATTCTAGTGAGTAATTCAGTTAATGTTTTCACGATTTTCTTTAAAGACTTAAAGTGAGACGCGTTCCTTGTCTTTTGTTAAATATAATGAAAGAACTTTCTTTAACAATTTGCTTTTAAACCTGATTTGTAAGTCCACATTTTACTGGTTGCTTAGCTTTCGGAGTTGGAGTTCCGACTTTGAAACGGGAAGTTACTGTGCCGGGTTGGGAAGCAGAAGCTCCGAGTCAATATAAAGCTAAGGGCTCACTGTAATGCAAAATATGCTATGTGAATGCCTGCGGACTTCGCTGTTGACCCTCTCACGTTTTGGCTGTCTTTAGTTTCCCCACTTCCTACAAAGCTCGCCTCGAGTTGAAGCGCAATCAAGCTCGAGTGACTTTGATGGGAATATGTTCGAACTAAATAAATCACTTTATGCTACATATATGGGAATGGAAAACATGTACCCAGGAGTCTGTATGTGCAGCCAAGTATATATACATATATTTATATATAGATACTTGGGTACATGTTTTCCACATATATATATATATTTATATAATATATATATTGTGCTCCCCATTCGATGGGCCTTGTTAATGCTGCCGATGAAGCCTTTGTAGCGCATTCCTCCGCCGACTTCAAATATGCAAACATTTAATTTCCATTCAAAGGCATTGATGGGCAATGGGCGCGTCTGTCTGAGTGAGGCAGAGGCATTATTTTTATTGTGTTTATTGAATATTTCAGGCATCAAACGATGCCTGATGACTCAGCTTGAAAAACGGGCTCCTTCAGTAGCGTTTTCGCCTCCGCAGGAGTCGTTCTTGGCAGCAAACTAAACAGAACTAAGGTCCTCCTCTCTGCGCCATCAATTTGTGTAAATTTGAACTGTCACTTTGAAGGCGTTAATTGGATTTAGACGAGCAAGGTGGAGGGTCCCGGATCAGGATGAAGTAAGCCCAGCTGCGGCCCTGATAACGGCGAAGCAAACATTTTGAGTCTGCGACCCTGATTGAACTCGGATTTAATCGAATAATGTCAGGCCAACATCAAGTGCTCTGTTTACCACGGGGCGGGGTTATTAAGTTAAGAAGTGCTCTGAGCCCACAGTGGCAGAATAAAATAACTCTGTAGCGGTAGTTAAAAACAAATACTTTTTATCGGAAAATAAAGCATTTTACATTTTTATGTGTGGAATATGTAATATTCGTAAATTACCATTTTTATACATATACCCTTGCAGAGGGTATTATAATTTTGGTCAAAAGTGGGCAACGCAGTGAAGGAGACATCTCCGACCCTATAAAGTATATATATTCTTGATCAGGATCACCTCCTGAGTTGATATAGCCATGTCCGTCTGTCTGTTTCTACGCAAACTAGTCTCTCAGTTTTAAAGCTATCGAATTGAAACTTTGCACACACCCTTCTTTCCTTTGCACGCAGTATATATGTCGGAACGGACGATTGGAAATGCCATAACTTTGGTGTTTTTAAAGTAAGGAAGTTGGGATTTTTTATGAGTATTAAGAATGCATCCTATGAATTTGTTTGAAGAATATAATTTACAGAGTATTCTGCAAGGGTATATCAACTTCGGCTCCGCCCGAAGTTTGCTTTCCTTTCTTGTTAAAATGTTATTTCGGGGATAACGAGTTTCAACTTCAATGGTATACATAAGCAAATGATTTATCTCTTTCAAAGTCCCATCTCCGTAAATTGAGCTTGATTAATTTCAAGTTTTTAGAACGTATTCCCTAAAAGATAGAGAATTCCCTAACAGAAGAGGTTATCTCATTTTATCTCATCTAATTAAAAAACAGCTTGAAACTCAATAATTCCATATTAACTAATAACAAGCTTATTTAACTGTATTTGGTTTTGGACAGCCCAACATTAACAGTATCAGTTTTTGCATAATACGAATTTATCCATTTTATAAGGTAAACTACAGCTTAAATAAAGATCAGATTTGTGGTATTATTTTAATCTCTGCATTCAAAAATAAATTTGTTGTTTTATTACCTGTTCAGAGCATTTTCATTTCGACTTTTTTTGGCTTGTGTATTTTATGCTACTTTTTTCACAAACAAAATTTGGGCCATGGATTTGTAGCTTAGACTTGAGCATCCGTTTTGCAAGGACGGGATGTAAATGTAGGTAGATGTGACGCGTGAGTGGTTAAGGATGGCAAATAAGGTAGTCAAAGGATGACATTGGTACAACCTGTATATCGATCCCCGGATTCTGGCGAGATATGCAAAATGACAAATAAAGCCAGCCTTAAAAGCTTACATTTTTGTAAATTTTTGTAATCTGTTAAAATTCCGAGTTCTGCGTATAGTTTTCACAATTATTGTGTGCATTATTTATCAGTTTATTACTTAGCAAAAATAAAAATTGTTTAAAGTCAGTATGATACATTTTTTTGTTAATTATTCCTAATGCAATAAAAGATGCAAAGTATGTGAAGCCGAGTTAGGAGATGCAGATTCGCACGGACTTAGTTTATGACTAAAACCGAAATTAAACAGCCATACGAATCGTTAACGGAGGAAAATGCAAATGGCGCAAAAAGAATGCCCCAAAAGCCGTTCGGCATACACAAACAACCCACCGCCTCGCCCCGCCTCACATCTCTCGTCCTTCTGAAAGGCTCCTTCTATATTATTCCGAGGCCCCGTCCTCAGCCTGGGGAGAAAAATGTTGCCTACTCTCCCTCGAATTTGAGGTCATGCAAATGAACCGGAGATTATGAGTTTGCGTTGGCCATTAAACCACACAGCATTCCGCACTTGGTTATTGTGGTAAAATAAACATATAAATAAATAATCTTTGCCGAGTTGAACGCATTTCTGCGGCTGACCACATCACTTAGGCAAATATGTTCCCTTCCCCGCTGTTGGGCGTTGACAACCGAGAGTCGGGCGATTAAAATTTGTACATCATTTGGCAAGGCCTCTTGTGGGGGCAGGGGCTTAATGGGGCGAAATAGGGTTGGGCAAGGTCACAGCAGGCGGATTCAGATGGGGTCGAGCCAAAAACGGTTGGGTTACGACGGTGTCAAGAATGAGTACGGTTGCACGATGTTGAGTAAGATTAAGGGGACTACGTGAAAGGCACATAAAAAGGGAAAGAAATTTTCAATAAAATTTGGGTCAAAACCATTTCCATAAGATGGGCTCACCTATTAGTGTCAGGTACGCTGATAGAAGCGAAAGGCAAACTCGAATTAGTTAAACAAAATTGGATTAACATAACCATTTTATACATTTGTTACATTTTTCACACCCATATTATATAACTTTCGTATGGCATCATTTGAATTGAGTTCTAAAAGACAAGCTTTGTGTTTTTGAAAATGTTTATACTTTAACTTTAACTATTAATCTGAATATTTCTAAAAATCATTGGAACACCGATTTAAATTGGTATGTTTAAAATAGAGCTAAGTCCCCAAATAAGTAGACAACATTTTTAACAAGCAGCATGTACTGGGTATCGCATAGTCCATTTTGTTCCTTTTGTATTGGTCACAATTACGTAGAAAGACGTAGTTACCTATGGTACAATATCCCGTAATTGGGGCAGTCGATTTTGGCTATAATGCCTAATGGCGTAATTACATAATTTGACAATAGACAGTATAAATACATGCGATATTCACAAATACATTTAGGCCAAAATGCTTGTTTCCATTTCAATAAGAAGTTATACTTTAATAATCACTTTATATAATCACAATAATGTAATATGCTGCCTGTTCCCCGATTTCTCGTTGCAGTTTCACCCGAATCGATCGTAATTCCGATCGTCTCCTGCATCTTCGGCTTCCCGATCCTGGCGCTGATCGTGATCTGCTGCCTGCGGAGGCGGGCCAAGCTGGCCCGGGAAAGGGACAGGAGGCGCAACTACGACATGCAGGACCATGCCGTCAGCCTGGTCAGATTTAGTCCAATACATAGGCTTAGTGAGTTTGAATGTCGTGTAATGTGTGTACGAACGTTTCTTTGCTCTATTTCTCGTTTCCTCTCTCTCTGGTTTGCAGCCACTCGCAGATCGAATGACTTGTCCGCATTTCCCGAACAGAGTCGAAAGACTGTCAAATGCATAGCCCACCTGCATTCATCTCTACTTTCACATTTCCGTCGCCGTCCCTCAATTCATTGATCACCAAGCTTGCATTGCACCCGTAGCTCTTTTTAAATTGATTTACTCGTATTGCTACACCTCCTACACTTTTACTCTTAGTCTGTGCCATGCCGTAGTCATTAATATACACCTGACGGCCATTGTTCTGTCTGCCTGCATAAAAGGAAGTTAACATTTGCAAAAGGATAACAAAGAGTCCGGCGCATCATCAATATCATAAGCACTATTTTTGAGTGCCCGCATGTCCAACAATAAAGGAAGCCAACTTCGGCAAGCCGAAGTTTATATACTCTTGCAGCTTTTACAAATATGTAATATTTTATATTTAAACTTGCATGCCTGTATGCTTAAAAACAATGGAGCTATGTCGATTTTCCGATACATTTTTCTATCGTCCCAATGGAGCTATAAGATGTAGTCGTCCGATGTTCATAAAATTAAAAAAATTAAAAGACCTCGTCCTAGGAACTGAACTGACATTGTCAGTGGCCATTGCAATGGCCAGTGCACAATTGGTACCATATATTTCTCCTGCATTATCAGACCGCCAGTAGCCATGTGTGTCATGTGTCTTTACACATTGAAAAAAAGTCTTTTGGGGCTAGGAGAAAGGTGACAAATCGTTTCAACGTTTTTTCAATTTGGTTGGGTAGTTTAATACATATGTTCAATCTAATATGTTCTTTATATTATAAACTTAGATACAAATTTGCCTCGCATTGAAGGACACATTTTCGACTCTAAGAAGTATATACATATATTCTTGGTCAGTATCACTAGTCAATTTGATACGGCAATGTCCGTTTTTCTGCCCGTTTCTAAGCAGTCTAATCTCCCAGTTTTAATTTTATATATATAGATATGTAGTAGCTCTTAACAGAACTCAAAAAAATTCAATTTATTATAATTCAGCTCTCCTTTATTCCCCTAAAAGGAATATGGTCGTAGGAATACAAACTTCTGGGAACGTGAGCTGAGTGAATGAAGTGCACCTTTCCTGAGAGAAAGTAACACTTGGAGACTGGGAGAAAGTAGGCACCCCCCACCGACAGTTGTGTATGCGTGTGAGCTGCTTTACAAGTGTCGGTGAAAGAGCGCTGCAGATGGCTGCCTGCATTTGAATTTGCATAGCATACCTTTGGGTGCTCGCAGTCCTGTTTGCATATCACACCAAAATGGAAGGAGCGGACCGGCCGGGGCGGGGCATGGCTGGTAAAGAAACGCAAAAAAAATAGGTAGTAGGTAGCCCGATTTTTAAGAATAACGGCATGCCAGGACCCTCTCCGTATAGACGCCCCCCGGAAAAGCAGCGCACACTAGACCGCGCTGTCGTGCGAAAATGTCAGTGCTACATATGTATACATACATATCACGCAGAACATTTTTATAACTGTAAATTTCATATTCAGAACGAGAGGCGACAAGTGAAACTGCCACTCCAGGTCTCTCAGAAAAGCACTATGAAAAATAACAAGCAACTTAACACTTTTCAGAAAAAATGTACGAAATAAATGCTGACACAATTTTTAAATTGCTCCCATTTATTTGCATGTTGTGAGAAATGTTCCCAAATGTTATTCCATTAAAAATAAAATAGGGCTGTATTTGAATTTTTTTACGCGATTGCCACATCAATTTTGTTGATACATTTCACGTGGAATTAGGTACTCTTGTTCCATAACTAAATACCTTATATATTTCTAATCAACATCCCCAAGACTGAATTTTTTTTTCAGCTTAAAAGCTTTTAAAATAAATCGAACAATATACAATTCTATAATTGTATTTGGTTAGAAAATGTTGATTGATAATCAAGAAATAAGCTAAAAGCGGAGTTTTTCTTAAACGTTTGGACCTTAAAATATATGTTTCCGCCTTTAGCAGCCTTGTATAATCGTGACCGCTATTTCGATAAAATTGCATTAAATAAACCCCTCCTCAAGGGTATTCAACAATCCGTTAAGTATTAAAAACGTCAGGTTAGATATGATACATTTTCGACAAAACATTCATTTATTCGAGGACATTTATTTGCGGTGCAGCTCTACAACGAATGATGATCAAGGCAGTCGAGGTCGACACAACCGCAGGTCCAACACAAAGCCAGGCAACCGCAAACTACACTTGTTTTCGATTGTGTCGCTTCTTGGCCCCAAAGCAGCACATATTTTTGCGACCCCACACAGGGACATAAGATTTTTGGCACACATTTTCGATTACGAATCAGCGCATCACCGACTTTGATTTCGTCCATTCATTTTTTCCTACAAAATATTTTTGCGAGACAAGTGAACTTTGCACTTCAATTTGGAACTTAAAAAGTTTTTAAAAACTTTAAATGTAATAAGTAAAGCCTTCCGTACTCACCACAAAAATTAAATACAAAGACGGTTTTTTGTTTTGCTTAAACTATTAGCATACCCGTATTTACAATTTTGTTCGTTAGTTAACCTTACATTTTATTAGCATGAAGCACTAGTAGTTTACACCACTTTCTTTTTTATGAAACTTAACAAAGCTCAATGAGCTTAAAATATATTTATAATTGCTACAAAGTTATTGACTTTTTTGTTCTTAACTTAACACTTAACTTACACCATGAACTACATAAATTAAACCTTAAAAAAATATGACGAACACTAAAATTAAAAAAAAATTTTAAGAAAGAAAGCTAACTTCTGAAAGCTGAAGTTTATGAACCCTTGCAGCTGTTCAAATATTAAATATTATATATTTTGATTTGTATGCGTACTTGCTTAAAAATAATGAAGCTATGGCCATATATTGATAACTTTTACATTAGTTCCTTGGCGGATAAATGATTTAGTCGTCCGATTTTCATATAGTAAGTGCCGTTATTCTGGAATTCGTCCGATTCGGCCCGTTCTGACTTATATCTCCCTGCAATAGAAAAATCTTTTTTGGGAAGGTTTCATCCATTTTGCGCTAAAACTAAAATACAAATTTTCTTAGAAACCTCTGAAAGGGTATATAAATTTCATTCAAGACGACAGATGTGGTGCTATTAAATCATTATTCAATTTAAAACACCCTGCGATATCTCTCACATCCCAGCAAACCCCTCACTCACTTGCATTTAGCTCCGCCTAATGATGCATGAAAACCTTTGAGTAAAATAAATTGTTTTTCACAGATTACCGATCGTCGCGAGCTATCAGTCTACGTCCTGAACGAAGCCTAAGCCAGGGCTTTACTTCCCTGGAGCTGGACACTGTGCTGGAGGAGCGCTGCAGTGACGTGGAGCAGACCCAGACGGAGATGTTCCACCCGGAGTCGCCGATGGACACTACCTCCTACAAAATGTCCTTTTCCTCGAGCTAACAGTTAGCCAAGCAGCAGCTGGAGCGGGCTGACGCGCCTGCGTCCGATCAGTGCCAGCCCAAATCCGAGTGCCAGGAGCCAGGAGAGAAGGTTCCATCACTGGCCAAATCCACACAACTGGTGCCTCCGGCGCAGCTGCGCAAGGCGGCCAGTGTGCGGGACGATCCGGCTGCCCTAACCAAGCGGAGGAGTCGCCTCCAGGAGCTCCGGGCTGCTAGTAGTACTGGAGGAGGCGGCCAGGCAGCTGCCGCATTTACCAAGCGGGAGTCCAAGCGGGATCGCCGGCAAGGCGCTGCAGAATCAGGACCAACTAGAATTGGGGAATCCCCGGCCATGCGAAAATCCCACTCCTTGGACGCCGCCGAAAGCTACTCGCTGGCCAGCATCCAGGCCCCGCTCTGGGTAACCCTCACCAACGCCAGAACCATCGACGAGCTGGCTCAGCAGAAGCTGTGAGCTCCAACTTCAGCTGCACTTGCATCTCCACCTGGCCCCAGCTCTAGTCCATCAGAACCGTTCAAGCATACCTACAACGGAGTCCACACCCCGCCTAATAGAAAAGCTGTAAATGTTTAGATGAAGTTTTCAATTAGCATCATTACTTACACAAGATATATTTGCATCATTAACTAAGCGAAGAAAATGCAATGAAATTTAAGACCAACCGATATAGTAAATGAAACCTAATATTAAACTGTAAAATTGAACAATATATCTCATTTTATTCTGGATAAGGGTTAAGATGGAATCAAAATTAAAGACAAAAATTAAATTTATTTTTATATAAGCAGACCATTTGCTTTCATAGAAGCTTGTAAGTCAAATCCCTTATTTTTAAATGGATTTGTTGATATTGTCTAAGAAAAAATATATATTGTAAGGAGGGGGATTATTTTAGGAAAATACAGTCTTTATTAGAACTGCATGAGACTCGAACTAAAGTCTTTTGCAGAAGATTTGAATACAATCAAAATCGGACCACTTCATCCTTAAAATCTGTTACAGTGTCCAGTGCCTTGTTGAACGTCCAACGAGCTAAACAAAATTGACAAAATTTTATATCATCACAATAGAGGCTTCATTTTCGAGTATGTTTTTTTATTTAAATTATCGTGTATACATAAGAAGAGCTTAAAATACAAGTTTAATTTCTTTATCAAAATACATTGTTATACAATTTTCTTAGTTGTTGTCGCTTGAATGCATACGGTTTATTTCTTTCGCGTTTAATCTGTTTGATTTTATTGATATTTCTAATAATCATATTTTAATCTCCTCTTCTTGTTCCAGTCTCCCTTAATTAGTTAATTATGGATTTAGTTTAGCTTTTCACACCGCATTTAGTAATAATTTTATATTTATCAATATATATATAAGTTTGTTTTATTGGTTTTTTATTTTTAATATTAATTAATAGAAAAAAATACTAACAAAAAGAAGAGGTTGTGTTGGATATATCCATGTATACTTCACATACACATAAAGAAGTATATATGTATGAAGTATATATAAGGGCTTTGCGTGCTCGCGAAATCCGTGCACGCAATATACACATATAAAACTTGCATAAAAATCGCGTATAATACAGTATGAAAAACTGCGCCGAGTGTCCACAGTAATACAATTATCCCGTAATTGCTTGCCAAACTACTCACTTAAATCAAAAACGAAAAAAAAATACACAGAATGAGGAAGAACTTCTGGCGAAGAGTCCAGCAAAACGCGCACGCACACAAAATATACAGCCCATCTTCTGGATAGAAAACAGAGTAAGATAAAAAGACTAAAAAAATTGAACTATGAAACAATTGAAAGCACTTTGCCCTGTGTCTGTGTTTGTGTGTGTTTAAGTTGCTTAAGGTATTGGTGTCTGTGACTGTGTCGGTGCGGGTGTGTGCGTGGCCTGGTGGGAGCCGTTGGTCTGAGAGTTTTATGTAGTTGCTTTCGGGGGTATACAAAGGGGTATTTTGGGGTAGGCGGTACGATACGGTACAAAGATAAAAAAGATACATTTAAAGATCACTTCATGCTGTTGCCAGTCGTCTTTTTTCTATGAGCTGTTGAATTCGGGTGACTGTGACTCAGACTTAGGTCTTGCGACTACTCTACACACCTCCATTTTGCTTTTATTTTCTGTTTCCGCAGCGTTCAAAGCTAAATCTCGGCAATCAGTTAAAAATGTGTCTTTTGTTTGACTTGGACATGGAACATTACATTACAGAGGGGTAAAAATGTCTAAAAAGGTAGGATTGCGAACTTGGCGCAGTGCCTGGTCCAACAAGCTAGTCCATGTTGTAATTGTAATTGATGTCGATTGCTCTCAGTTTCTCGCTCACGAAACTTCTTTATCAGGATTCGATTGGTTGGTTCTTCGTCATCTGTAAAAGTTAAGCTGCAGCTCCCTCCCACGTGTCGCGATCTCCATACCCCTCTACGTCTCCGGCGAGCACCCCCTACATGTGTATCGTGGCTGCCGTGTAGCGGGCCTCTCCACGCCTCCATGACCACTGGCTGGGACGGAACTGTGAAGGGAAACACGATTAGCAGGTTACTAGATTTACATTAAATACATTTATTATTGTTACTTGGTGTCTCTTTGTGTGAAATAGCTCAAAAATTTTTCATAATTAAAATTTTTAAGCAAAGTCGCCTTTTTAATATGCAAAATATTTTCTAATAGAACAGTAAGTAGCGGAAAACTTCACTTTGGAACTTTTCTTGTGACATGCATGCAAACTATTTATGTACGAAATCTCCTTTGAAACTGAGATGAATAACTTATCTTTTAATGAAAATAATGGTGAGTATATCAAACGAATAGACTCTTAAAAATAAAGATGGGAAAAATTAATTCATTTCCTGTTGTTATAAAGAAAATAAGATAAAAGGACACAAATTGTAAAGCCTAACATAAAATTGGTATGCGTGCAAGAGTTCACTGTAGACCAACAAACCTGATGTAAATGCTTTGACTGCATGTAATTATAGAAAACACATAGGATAACGATTGAGTATTAATGAAGAGGATGGCATACCCGGTTAAATAATAGACTTACCTGGATGAGCAGCTGGCCGCTTTTGGTGTGAGGATTGCGGTATGCGTAGAAGAGCCATAGCGTCACGGCGAACACCAAACAGATGGGCACCATGAAGCCGAAGGCCACGCCCACGCTCTTGTTATCCGCTCCCGCCTGCGAAAGCTCGGCGTTTCCGACCTTGCCGTCCGTATGGCTGCCAATGGTGGTCTTTGCCTCCGGCTTTGACTGAGCAGTGGCGTGCGGAGCCCGCGTGCTAATCACGGTGGGCTCCGTCACTACTGCGGAGGAGCCGGTAGTCGCCGTGGCGGGGCTTGTCGCACTGCTCGCACCACTGTTCGCGGGAACGAGCTTTGTTTGGGCGGCATTGTTGCCCTTTTCACCGAGCACTGGGCAGCTCTCGGAGACACGGATGGCGGCAGTCTCACATCCTAGAATACATTTTCAAGTTAGTTTCTTTCGCACATTATATTCTGCCATAGCTTACCCTTCTGGATCCACTCGTGCTTCTTGCGGTCGGTTCCCGTGGAGCAGCGATTAAGCGCCGAGCACCATAGGCACTGAAAAAACAAAATCGGAACTATGAGCTGGTGAACTCGGGGATCGGAGGACCGGACTCACCGTAAACGTAGTGTTGTGGTTAATACACGAAGTGCAGTCATTGTAGCCAAGGCAGGTGGTCTGGGCCGCCAGCTTAATGATGGTTGAGTTGGTAATCTCATGCTGCTGGAAGGTGACTCGGTGGTACTCGTAAATTGTCTTTCGTCGAGCAACTGTTGGAACAGACGGATATTTATTGGTTTGGTGCTAGACCGACGAGTACTCACAGTAAAGGTGCTTGTCGATGATGTAGGCGTCGGATAGACCAACCTTGACCGGGTGTTCCTTGTCCTGAATTGTGTTAATGTGCGTGGGCACTTGCAAGTAGGCGAAGACAATGTCGCCGCTCTTGAGCAGGGTCACGCTGAAGGTGAACTTGCCGAAATCCGGCTTATCCTGAAGTGTTACATTCTCCCACACGGCGATAAAGGCGGTCCCTGGAACACAGATCTTTTTTCTTTTACATGGCACATGTACTTTGAAAAACCATAAATAATATGTTAAGACAGTCCCCGATACAATAAACAATAAAATTGTGTATAAAGGCTCTGAATAAAATTTCTAATCTCTGGGTAAATTTCCTTCGAAACAACAGTCATGCTCCAGGGGGTCTGTGGCACAATCATGTTGTTTTCCGGGGAAAACTTTGAGATTATTATTTTTGATAAAATGCTTATTTTTTTTAATTTTCGTTAGAATGCTCAAAAGGAAATGAGCTGGTTATTACTAAAATGTATTTATTTGTCAAAACCTAACAATAAGTTCCTCGGCTTTTATGGTATTATGACACTACATTGTTGGGCTGTGCGATTTTGCGTTAGTCCGATCAAGACAGAAACGTTGCAATTCCACTGAGCAGTAAATTGAGAAAATTAAAAGAATTAATAAAAACACTATTTAGATTTTGGTATTGAAAAATAGTTCAAATGTATACTACCTATACCGATTTTATGAATTTTCCCGTTTTCTTGCCTAATTTTTCTTTTGCAAACAAACTGAACTGACCGGAGCTGACAATAAAATACGATAATTTTTGTGTTCAGTACAACCACACACCAGTTTAAACCCATATTAAACATTAAAGACTATTACTTTAGTATTTAAAGGAGCGGTAAAACCTTTGAATTTAACTTTTCAAAGTACGTGTGACCGTTGCCTTTTTACCAAAAGAATCTTAAGAAAAATAAAATATTTAATTTTGAAACTATTAACTTATGTCAATTGTCCGATACTTTCACCGCTGAATTTAGTTATTGTGAGAATAGAGATTGGCTTTTAGCAAATGGCATATCTATTTTTGTGTGTCAACAATTTTCTAAACCCATTTTTAAATTAAAATTGATAAAACCGTTAGACTATACGCCCTTCGCACACTTATTCCATTACTAGTAATGCAGATCGGCAAAATAATAAAAACTCTAATCATTTATTTCTCGATTACTACAGTTAAAATAACACAACTTTCGCCGCTGGGTATCAATGTAACCCTATTAGAGTATTGGGACTGTAAACTCACCGTTGTCTTGCACCCGGACAAACGAGTCGTTGGACATGCTTGTGTCGAAGTTCGCCATCAATGGGGCGATGTATTGGGTGGCCGCTAGCCAGGAGTGGACGTAGTCGCCAGTGTAGAGGAATCCGCCAGTGGCCACCGTGATGTTGCGCACATAGTGTCCGTAGAAGGGGAAGTCGAACTTCAGCTCCACGGTCATAGCGCGACGATGCGACGAGGAGAGCAGAGTGTTTTCAGGCGTGGTCCTCAGGTGGGACCACATTGACGCCACCTCGTCCTTGTTAACGTAGAGCACGCTGTTGTAGTAGTCGTGGAAGTCCTCACTTCTTATCAGCGACTCGTTATTGGCCTTATTGATGATCTCGTCCTCGGGCACATCGACGCCGGCCACGTCCACGTCAATTTCGGCCGCCGGGCGATCCGTGCTGGTGACGGCGCCGGCGGAAGATACCACTTTCTTGGGAAAGCCCGACTGGGCCAACAGCTGGGTTGGCTTCTTTGCAGTCACATTGATGGTGGTGGTGATGTTGGAGCCTGCGCCCGTGGCCGGATCTTCGCTGACGCTGTAGACCTTGCGTTGTCCGGTGCCATTGACTCCGACGTTGTGCACGTTGTAGGACACACTGCCGCCGGCCGCCTTGCTGTCCACGGTGGTCACCGTGGTCCCCGCAGCCGCTCCCCCGGCTCCAGCTCCCACTGCCACACTAGCGTTGACATTCACGCTCTGGTACTGGCTCTTCGCGTCTGGCTTCGTATCCACAGGAATGGCTCTCCTTTGCCGGTGCAGCTGATCCGTTGTCAGTCGCACCACTTCTTGTGCATTGAAGAATGGCAGTTTTGTGTCGAGAGTTCTGTAAGTATCCCGGTAAGCTGCAAATAAGGAGGACAGTTAAAGTAGGGAAAATAATGAAACCATTTTTCTTATTAACTCTATTATAATGCGCGCCGTAGGAATCCCATTTTAAGTATTAACTTAATTAAAAAACAAGAAAGGAAGCAAACTTCGGCAAGCCGAAGTTTATATATCCTTGCAGTTATTACAGAACGACTAAATTTTGATTTATATGCCTATATCACTAACAACAATGAAGCTGTGTTGATTTTGCTTTGCATTATGCCATCGTTTCTATGGCAGCTATATGATAGTGTTGTACGATTTTAATTTAATTAAAACCGTAATTCCATAATATTTAAATATTAACAATTTCCAAAGGACAACAACAAAAAATTAAAAACAACAAAGTCATAATTTTTTTGAATTTTTTTTCCGTTTGTTTCTATGGGAGCTTTATGATATAGTCGCCCGATCCGGCTCGTTCCGGCTTATATACTACCTGCAATAGAAAGACAACTTTTGGGAAAGTTTCAAGAAGATAGCTTTAAAACTTAGGGAATACTTTGCGGAGAATCGGACGGACGGACAGACGTACAGATCGGCTCTCCTTGTGATGCTGATCAAGAATATATATACTTTATACGGTCGGAAATGCCTCCTTCACTGCGTTGCAAAGATTCACTGCGCTGTTAAAAAAAACTCCTAGAAAACTTTTTCAGCCCAGCCATTGACAGTAAAAATATATTGACAATTTAACACAGATTATTATTTGTTAGTTAAATATTATATATATATATATATATTCTTGGATGTATAGTGGAGACAAACTGTTTAATCAATAAATAATGTAATTCAATCGAAATGTAGAAATATTAAAACAATTTGACCTCATCAACTTAAAGCTATATTTGTATTTAAAATGTCGACTGGACATCTTGTCATGTTAGGATATTACAACAGCATTTTGTGCTATTGGCGTTCTATTTTCTTGTATTGCAACCAACCCAGCTGTTATTTGAAGCCGCTCTCGATATTGATTTTCTATTTCTATTCGCACATGTGCTGCCACATATGCATGTACTTTGTACGAATACCACAATGGCACATTGAAGACCATCGTCGACAGCCCCATTGCAATTACAACATGCGGTCAGCATGGAGGTTTGGTAATTTTGAGGTTTTGAGGGGGCGGCAAGTAAGTACATGCACCCATAAACAACCGATATCGATTACAATTGCCTAACAATTACAAGCTGGCAAGGAAAACTGTTCAAAACTTAGGACTGTCAGAGGGTGAGCCGTGATTGATTGATTTACAAATCGTTTACATCGACCTGGGAGGACATTATAAAACAAAGTTCTTAGCTTGGCATTGATATAATATTAAAAGGTAATTTTTGATATCTGTAAAATATAATTATACAAAAATGTATTCTATGAATTTTTTGGACTTGAATATAAATAATTTGTTTAAGAATGAATATATACACCTTATTCTGATTCTGCAAAGTGAAACATATGTTAAAAATATAATATAATTTTGTTTATTTAAAGTGTGAAAACCAATATTTAATAAAGTCTTAACCACATTAAAAATGAGTTGTGCATTGTGTTGTGTAACTAAGACTAAATAGATTAAAATGCACACACATAATCCTTGTGGTTTCTAAAAACGGCAATCCAACTCAATATTTAAAAAAATTTAAGTAAAACAAGAAAGGAAAGCTAACTTCGGGCGGAGCCGAAGTTCAAATACCCTTGCAGAATATTCTGCAAATTATATTCTCCAAAATTATTCATATGATGCATTCTTAATACTCATAAAAAATCCCAACTTCCTAACTTTAAAAACACCACAGTTATGGCATTTCCAATCGTTCAGTTATATGGCAGTTACAGGATATAGTCGGCCGATCCATATGAAATTTGGTAGGTCGGATTAATTGGCCAAAAATAAAACCCATAGGAAATCCCAACTTTCTAACTTTACAAACACCAAAGTTATTTCATTTCCGATCAATCAGTTATATGGCAGCTATAGGATATAGTCGGCCGATCCTTATGAAATTTGATATGTCGGATTGATTGGGCAAAAATAAAACCCATAGAAAATCCCAACTTTCTAACTTAACAAACACCAAAGTTATGGCATTTCCGATCAATCAGTTATATAGCAGCTATAAGATATAGTCGGCCGATCCTTATGAAATTTGGTAGGTCGGATTAATTGGCCAAATATAAAACCCATAGAAAATCCCAACTTCCTAACTTTACAAACACCAAAGTTATGGCATTTCCGATCAATCAGTTATATGGCAGCTATAGGATATAGTCGGCCGATCCCGGCCGTTCCGACTTATATACTGCAAAGGAAAGAAAAGTGTGTGCAAAGTTTGAATTCGATATCTTTAAAACTGAGAGACTAGTTCGCGTAGAAACAGACAGACGGACAGACAGACGGACAGACGGACATGGCTATATCAACTCAGGAGGTGATCCTGATCAAGAATATATATACTTTATAGGGTCGGAGATGTCTCCTTCACTGCGTTGCACACTTTTGACCAAAATTATAATACCCTCTGCAAGGGTATAAAAATTTAAAATTTGATGGTATACAAAAAATTGTTGTGCAATGACTGTGTACATAAAGGTTTTTTATTTTGATTTTTACAAGTCTCTACAAGTCCCAAATGTTTCTTATTTTTCACAGATTAAAAAAATGAAAAAACCTGTTTTAGACTTTAATAAATGAAATTAAAAATAGGCCTGAGACAAGATAGGCAGGAGCTCGGTATCAACGGCCAAAACCGCAAGCCCTTTTTTTTACTCATTTTCAAAATACTTATTTAGTGCGATCGCTTTTAAAATGACTCAGCGCAGCACAATCTAAGTGTCCCAGCGATATGACATGCACATCTATTGGGGACGCCACCTGCCACCCTGCACACCACCCAATCCCGCCCCCTCACCACCGATCCACGTTCGCGTGACGCCGATCCAATTGAACCCGGTGTTAATTGCTGTAAGTGGCGGTTTGTTGTCTTTCCCCAGGGTTTTTGTTATGGTCGTTGAAATAATTGGCGTAAATTTACGCGGCACTTGATTGAAAACCGATTCGTTTTTTAATATCTCGGAAACAAACTAACAAAAGCAGTCAATAGGTTTACGCCAATCCAAAAATATATCAATATATTGCTTTTAAAATATATAATTTAGGTTTTGATAAATATTATAATTGTAACCAACTAGAACTAATTTAGTTAATATTTTTTTTCGGTGTAGTTCTCTTCTGTGTGGTCAGGCAAACGACCTAATGGAAGCAAAAGAAGTCGAGAAGTGGGGGCATAATTTGCACAGTGACCCACTTTCGAGGCTCCATAGAACAACATTAATTGTCGCTTTGGAAGAAATTGAATGCAAAACAAGGTGTGAAGGACGAATGAATCAATGAAAGTCGATCATATCAATACACAATAAAATAGTATCTAGATTTCTTCTGTCTTTATGGTGCAGCAATGTTTTAATAGTAAAACCGTCTCCTGCCAATATTTAGCAAAAAAAACTCGATTTGATTGAAATATATGAAAATTTTAATAAAAACTTAAATATAATCAAAACTAAAGATGTTATAATTTTTTATTAAATTTTACTTAAGCAAAGGCATTTATTCCTTACTCTTAAAGTAAATAATTAATTTTTGTAAAGTTTTTATTTGTATAAGATTTTGAAATTATTTCAAACAAACCGACTAACAAAATATAATTGTAGAATTCGAACTGTTTTCAAAAAGTTTGAATTAATACATTTAAATAAGACTTTCTTTTTGGGAATTGACTTTTTTAACTTTGTTATCACACACTTATCTTCATTTCTTGCCTTTCTGTAAACTTTTCTTTCCGCTGACGTTCGGAATACCTTAACGACAGAACGAAAAGAAATACACTTTATGTTTGATACCTACTAGAAATATATATGTGCAGGAGTCGTTAATCGGACAACAAAACAATCAATTGTTCATTGTTTATTATGAAGAAATGCATTTTGACGTTTAATAATTTGTATACATATGTATTTATCATTTTTTTTGGTAAACAAATATACCGTACTGTACACATTTTTTGTTACTGTTTCTATTTTAACGATCGGCTGAAATTGCGTTGACTTTGAGATTGTGAATTTAAATATGCCAGCAGCAGCGTTTTTTTTGTTCCGATAAGGTATACATACACAAATGTGCAAGTAGTGATCTAAAAGCCAAAGCACTGTACTTTTTGAAATGCTCTAAAACCCAGCAGTGAGGTTGAGTCGCTGAGGCTTCGACTGGCAATATGCGCCGCACACTTATAGCAAAACTAATCTGGATAATTGACGGCCAGTAGGATCGAACGTCATTAAAATCTGTGATTAGTATATACCTAACATATCTTAAGCAATGACTATGACTATTAATGACTAGCTATTAATAAAATGCGTATGGTAAGAAGCTACAACTACCAATGAGCCACTTTAAAAAAGTTTTGTTGTTTAGTTTTCTAGTTTACTGCCACGTTAATGTGGTATTTAGACTGTGTTGTACTAATGCAAAAACAGTGTATGTGCCACATAAGAGGTATTTTTTTTTTAATACATTCCCTGTATATATTTGAAGCCCGATTCACAAATGTAAATATTTTTCGATTTCATAATAATCATAAATAAAATTTGTTGGTATATCTAATAGAAATGTATTTGCCGTCAAATGGTATCCGTTCTTTGCACCAGACAGACGTGACCGGAGCTGCAACTCACCTACAGTTCTACTGTCGCCGTTAGACGGAAAAGCTATCAGGCCCGACACTCTTGCGCGGGGCAAAACTGGGACAAGCCGCAACTTTTTGTTCCGAGAAACAAACAGTATGGCATCCAGATGACGATATGGTGCTAATGATCCCATGGACAAAAGAAACAAGGGCTAAAAATGGGCTACCTTAACTTGAACATCATTGGATACGTAATAAATATTTGGTATGGATTCATAATTCAACAGCTAGAA